GTCTACATCAAAATAAGCTAAAAGACATCAAGAAAATGATATAAGAAATAAAAGAGCTCGTAACTCAGTATTAGAGAAACTTAGACATGATGTGACAGAACTGAGGAAAGAATGAGCAATAAAAGAAAAATAATTTCAGGAATGAGTAAACTCAAAAGAATACACGAGCAAACAAAAATACACATATGGGCCAGGCACGGTGGCTCACGCCTGTAATCCCAGCACTCTGGTAGGCTGAGGCCAGTGAATCACCTGAGCTCGGGAGTTCGAGACCAGCCTGAGCCAGTATGAGACCCTGTCTCTAAAACTAGCCTGGGCGTTGTGGTGGGCGCCTGTAGTCCCAGTTGCTTGGGAGGCTGCGACAAGAGAATTGCTTGAGCCCAAGAGTTTGAGGTTGCTGTGAGCTACAACACCAATGTGATCTAAAAGAAGTAGAAGTTAGGAGAATGAAATTTTTAAAAACCAAAAAGAAATGAAAAAAAGATGAAAAGGATTAATAGGAAAGTCACAAACATTCTTTTGGTTTGAAAAGAAGATATAGATGTTAGGTATCCCTAAGGAATTGAACTAATCCGAGGAAGCAGTATGAATCCCAAGAACTATAATTAAGGAAAACTTTCCTGAAACATAAAAAGGATTTGATACTCTCTTAGTTTAGGTGGTGGTATACAACATCAAACTGAACATCAAAGATACATTTACTAAATTTTAATACATTGCATATATCTTCTATGTTTGATCTATTTTGACAATTGTGTATACTTCAAGTATATGTTTATACCACAAATAATATTTCTATACCTCAAGTAGAAATGTTTATACCTTAAATTAAAATATATGCACATATGTATAAAAAGTTGAAACTCTGCCTGGGTGCAGTGGCTCACACCTTTAATCCTAGCACTCTGGGAGGCCCGGGTGGGTGGATTGCCTGGGGCTCAGGAGTTTGAGACCAGCCTGAGCAAGGGCGAGACCTCATCTCTAAAAATAGATGGGGCTCGGCGCCTGTGGCTCAGGCAGCTAAGGTGCCAGCCACATACACCTGAGCTGGCGGGTTTGAATCCAGC